GTAGAGAGAGAGAGAGAGAGAGAGAGAGAGAGAGAGAGAGAGAGAGAGAGAAAAGGGATTAGTTAAATAACAGGAGAGAAGGGTGTTCGATTGGCCTGTGTGGATTTTAATTAGGGTTAATTGGCCACAGAGGGAAATGAAGGCTCAGGAAGAGTATGTGTATGTGTGTGTATTGATAAATATGCTTCTCTCTTCTCTTTCTCCCCCCTAGCAATGGTTGTTTTGTATGGTTGCGTCCGTAGTCAAGGTTGTATTGGTACACAGGTGGACTTAGGGACTAACAGGAGCTGCACATTCTGCCTTTCATACACCAATGAGATCCACTGGGTTTCTAGTTCACCCCCTCAACCTGGGCAGTGCATGTATTATTACTATACATCTGTTTTCCTATAAGACACAAACTATCACTCACAACATGTGCAAACTGCAGCTCAGGCAGTCAAAACATGACAATACTCTATACAAACACTCAAATCTCAGATTTTATTTAGGGGCTTTTGCCTGTAGTTAGAAATGCTTTCCAATACTATCACGCATACTTTGGGTTCAAACTGAAGTATATAATTTCTGTGCCACCGAACGGAACAGCAAAAACAAACCTTGTTTTCAAAAAAAGTTTCCAAATACGCCCACATCAATCGTTGATTGAATAATATGATAGCCCCGCCCCCAACTCTAAACTGGTTGAGTGAGTGTTGTTGTGTAGAACAGCAATAGGGGAGTTTTCATAGCACCACAGAAACATAATATTTACAGTATTGAACAGCATAAGATATACTTATAATTGTCTCTGAATATTAAGCTGGGATAGAAGAAAGTATTTAAATGCTTAAAAGTTACATAATTCAGCTTTCAGGATTTAAAGGGGTCATATGATGCGATTTCAAGTTTTCCTTTCTCTTTGGAGTGTTACAAGCTGTTCGTGAATAGATAAGATCCCTGAAGTTGCAAAGACTAAAGTCTCAAAAAATAATTATCTTTAAAAAAGCATCATATGACCCCTTTAAAAAAAATTTACTTAAAAATTAAAACATTTTTTGAATGAAAGCTGAAGTTTCCCTTAATTGAAAGTCCAGGTAACAAAAAATTAGATCCAAGATCAAGGCATTTTAAAATGAATCCATGTGAATCTGACAGTTTTATTGAAGTCTTGTAAAGAGATTTGGACACTTTATATGATGAACAGATTTAATTTAGGCTTTAATTTTTTAGTTTATGGATCTGGAACAACATGAGGGTGAGTAAATGATGACAGAATTTTAATTTTGGGGTGAACTATCCCTTTAAACTCTTCTTGCAAAGGATATGCTTTCAACATGTTGAAGAGAGGTTTGCTATTACTTTTCCAAATGACCATTGTGTTCATAATCTGGTAGATGACATAATGGATGAAAAAATACCAAAGATTTCCACTGAGGGAGTGACCTGAGCCATATTTAAAGCCCAGATATGACACTTGGAGATCGGCTGAACACCCAAACATTTGTAGCAGCCAGTTTTGCATATACAAATGTAAGAAAGAAAATGTAAAAATCTAGTGAGAGAGAGAGGGAATGAATTCTAACCCACATCTTCATGATGCTCTACCTATGAAAATAGGTAGAAAACCAGAAATTTGTAATTTTGAAATGTTACATTTTCACAGTTCACAAATCAGAAATACCTGTTCATACATAACTTATAATTAGATCAGTCATTATAAAAGCAGTGTGCGATGGACACAGTCAGACACAAACACTAATTCCAGTTTTGCAATTACTGCTGATATTTACTGTTCTACTTCCCACGGTTTAGTACAGTACAAAGAGAGAGATGAGAAAGAAAAACAAACTTGGAGAAAAAAATCAACTAAAGATTAAGTAAATCTTAACAAAGAGCAATTTTTATACATTAGATATACTGATGTGTATCTGTGTGTGTGTGTATGTATATGTGTGAGTGTTGTTGAGACGGGGGGGGGCTGGAGAATCAGCAGCGTGTGCATCTCTGTCTATGAACAGCTAGGTACGGTGGGGAGATCATAAATTAGACAAGGAAATTACTGCTAAGTGTGCGAATAAATTAAAGTGCGCTTGCTTCTGTAAACACTGTCTGACTACATAATTACTGAACACTCTCTGGAAGAGTGAAAGAGAGGGAGGGAGATGGAAGGGGGAGGGAGGGAGAATGATAGGCAAAAAGGTTTGTGTTGATGGTTTATTCATTTATTCATACGGCAGCGTGCAACATGTACGCGACCGTTTGACATTTCGCTAGAGAGGTTGCACAACACCTGCTTACAATCCTAAAACGGGAAATGAAAAACCTTGCAAAAAATGTACTTTATGACATTTATGAAGTGTAATTTAGTTTCTACAAAAGTCTGACGCTGACTTTGAAGCGATCAAGCGTAAACACAAGCAAGGTTTGCTCTTCGCCTTATCCATCCAAGCTGCGTACTGGAAAAGATGCCCAGGTTTAATTCTACGAAATGATTCTGAATTCATCATCCTACATTACAGTTCAAAACATTTGATGTTTATATACCATTTGCATGATGATTGGTGTGTTGAGTGACTCACGTTTCGCAGGCAGACCGTAGGCTCCGGTGATCTTGGCCTCCCCCGTTTCACAGCCGTTCAGAGTGCCACATTCCTTCCTTAACAGAGGACCAGCCCCACGATGAATGGCACCATCCACTGAAAATGTGATAATATTTTATATAAAAAAAAAGTGTTAAAAAAAAAAAAAAACGTGTGTATGAAGTAAATAATTTTTAAATTATTATTATTGGTTAGGATTATATAAATTTCAGAATTACAGAATATATATAGCCAAATATCCAAATATTTTTCCATTGCAGTTTACCAACATGCACGATATATATTCTAAACCTGGATAAATATGCTTTAACATTGCATAGCTCTTCCTAAAAATATTGCATGACAACAATTATCATCATTGCGTCATTTGAGGACACAAAAAAAATCTGATTTCTCATAGCACTGAGGGCAGCAATTTGAGGACCATAACAGTTTTACTCAAGGGTTTTCAGCACCCTGGCACTTTTGCTGATATGTGCTCAGAATCCATAAGAGCGAGAGATAGAGTGATAAAAAGATAGAAAGATAGGGAATATATACCGAGAAATACCATAGAGATAGTGAAGTGGAGAGAAAGATTAGGAAAAAACAGAGGGCTTTGGAGTGGAGGAAAGAAGGATGAGAGGAAGGAATAAGGCAAAAGATGCGAATGTGGTGACGAGGTAGGCCTGTTGGGAATAGTTTGCCTTCCTGTGTAATTGCAACATGCGCGCACACACACTTTTTATATTACACAGACATCTTGTTAGCAGGTGCTAATTGGCTTCTTGCTTACCTGATAGGGGGTTTGTGACACTGAACAAAAAACATATAATGTTTTCCTATACTGCATACACAGCTTTTTTTTCAGTCCTCATTTACAAGTGCTCTTCACATGCAACCCCATGCAACATCTAACCACATGCACGCACACATGCATGCATGCATCTGCAGTGCACACACATTTTCTGCATACAAAAGCATTCGTTAGCAGTTCAATTTCCCATCAAATCAGTTTGGCCTGGACTGAGCGGCACTAACAAGTGTTATTAAAACACACCCTTTTATTGGCTGAGCTGGTCACCATGGCAGCCATTAGTAAGAGCATTTGATTGGATCTGGCACATCTGCTTGCCCATGTCACAAATCCCTTGACACCAAAGCACTATCTCTCTCTAAACACTTGCCCGGCGCTCTGGTTTTCAACCAGAATACCAACATTCCACTCAGTGCCAAGAACACACACATTCTCAGTCAAAAAATAAAACAATCAATTAATACTTATCCATGGGTGGCTTTCCAGATTGTTAGAAACAGGGCAAAGAAATCTCACAAACAGACTTGAAAGAGTTTTAAAAAAAGGAACCATATGCCAAAATGCAACATTACACCACAAACGCAACAAAACCCCCAAAGAGACTCTAATGTCACTGTGTCCTTTCGTACAATCTGGAGTATCAGGACTGATGTCTCCCACTGTAATGAACAGAAAATTTTGATCGCCTATAGTTATGTGTGCCATTTCCAAGTATGATCCATTTGACCGTGAACGTAGAAAATCCAGCATGAATTATTTCCATCACTCACAGCCTCTCTTTTTCCTTCCTTATGCACTTTCTTTTACCGTGTTTCTTCCTTTCAGTTCCTGTCTCGTACACAGCAAAGAAATGTTATTAGTAGTATTTTTAGTATCCAATATATATAATAATATTTTTTTTTTAATAAAAGCTAAATTGTGACAAGACTTACAACAAGGTAATAAGACAATAAGACTTGTTTTTAGAGAATATTAAATAAAAAATTACAACCCCATTGGAAAATATTTATGCTTAAAGAATGCAGTAAGAAAAATAACAGACTTATTCTCCTAAACAACCTTTATTATACACATTATCATATTATATTATATTATATTTAATAATTATATAATAATTTAATCACTCTTTTCAAGTGATTAAAGAATATATCTTGAATGAGGCTTAGTTTACTAATGTCACTGGCAAATAGTTTTGTTCTTCTTGTTTTAAGCATAAATCTAACAAAATGTAGTGAGGTTTATGCTCTAAAACAATTCACCAGTGAGGTAATAAAAATAAACTTAATTTAAGATATATTCTCTGAAAACAAGTCTTGTAATATTGTTCCAAGTAAATTTTGTTTTAAGGATGTTTAGATATTATACCTGAAAAAGAAAAGACTAAAATACTTAGTTCACCCAAAAATTAAAATTCTGTCATTAATTATGTAATTTAATTAATTAATGTCATTAATTACTCACCCTCATGTCGTTCCAAACCCCTAAGACCTTAATTTGTGTTCCAGCAGAAAAAAACAAAGGTCTTACGGGTTTGGAACGACATGAGGGTAAGTAATTAATGACAGAATTTTCATTTTTGGGTGAACTATCACTTTAGTAAATAGGTTTTTGCAGTGCATCAAAAATGCTGACTGAACATGGATGGTGCTAGAGTCTTTAAAACAGTATCCGAAACAAACTATATACCACTATACGACACATCCTAACTCATCCATCTTTTCTTTATTCTCTCTTCTGTTGTTTTAAACACATCCTCTTGTTTTTGCCCTCTCAGCTTTAGTGCTTTTCCTGCTTTAAACACCAACAGGCAGTGACTAACCCCTCATCTCTCTCTCTGCATGCAATGCTCTGAGGCTGTGTCCTCCCTGATGTATAGTTTTGTCCCTGCCTAATTATCACCCAGGTTTGCCTTAACAAACCTCAGGAGTAGAGCCAACAAAAAGAGAGGGAGGGAGTGCGAGTGCAAGGAAACCAATGTGTTTGCATACTGGCGACAGAAATAGAGAGGAAAGAGGTGTTGGAGTCTTAGGGAGTGAGGAGAAGAGGTGATGGCGTAGGGCAGAGAGACGGGTGAGGAGCAAAACAGAGAGAGTGAAAGGGAGATGGAAGACATGCAGAGGCACGAACTTGACAGTGAGGTTTAAAACAAGGGAGGTGAAGGTCAAGCCTAAATCAATCGCATTTGCCATTTGTGTTTGAGGAACTGCATAAAAAACCCAGGTCAATATACAGCAGTGCGCACTTCTGAATTTGTGTTTGTGTGTGCGAGCCGTGGTTCTGATGAGTAGGATTCTCAAGTGCAGATTCATCACTGGTATTGATTAGCTAACGCGCAGGCACTTAACACGGGCAGAGAGCAAGAGCGGCACACGCTTACAATCGACACACACATGCATACGCGCAAATACTGAGTCAACAGTTGGACATTTCTGTTCATTTGCATAGCACTCTACTATCGTAAATTACATACATTAGATCTCGGAATGCACTTTCAAAATGCACACACACCTCTCAAACAGACAGGGTATGTACACTATCGTTTCTGTTCAAAAGTCTAGGGTGGGTAATATTTTTTAATGTTTTCAAAAGACGTATCTTATGCTCACAAAAGCTGAATTTAACTGATCAAAATACAATAAAAACAGTATAAAGTAATATACAGAATATATTTTAAAAAGTAATTTATTGCTATGATGGCAAAGCTGAATTTTCAGCAGCTATTACTCCAGTCTTCAGTGACACATGATCCATCAGAAATCATTCTAATATGCTGATTTGCTACTCAGTAAACATATATAATTATTAATGTTGAAAACAGTTGTGCAGCTTAATATTTTTTGTGGAAACTGTCATATATTCTTTGATTAACAGTAAGTTCAAAATGAACAGCATTTATATTGAAATCTTATAATATGATAAAAGTATTTACTGTCACCTTGTGATCAATTTAATGCATCCATTCTGAATAAATCAATTGATTTCTTAAAAAAAACTTTTGAATGGTAATGTACATTAGATTTAACATAACACATTTCAAGTGTGTAATAAGTTTTAAAACGTGAAAGCACAAAATTAGATATGTACAATTATCATAGCTATTGACGGTGTTCACATTTGTAAAACAATGCTCATTAATAGTGTCACACATGACAACTAGTCTGTTTGTTCTGTGAAATATTGCAGTTTACTTTTAAATGGTTCATAATTGAAGTAATTTACAAGAATGTTTACTTTGTGATAATGACTGTACATTATCTTGCTACCAAATAAATTAAATGTTCATTTATCACATATTACCCCATTTTATTTATGTGAAAAGAAAAAGAGACTGCACAAAATGCCGTAACTTGCCAGTTAGGAACAAGCATTCCAGAGAAGTGGGTTTTATTTTTGAATGCTGTCCTGAAGGAATAGTTCACCCAAAAATGAAAATTCTGTCATCATTTACTTGCCACCATGTCTTTCCAAACATGCATGACTTTCTTCTGTGGAACACAAAGGAAGATATTCTGAAGAGCACTGGGGTCCAAACAAGGTTTGATTTGCATTGTATCAGATGTGGGGCAAAAATCAGAAGAAAGGAATGAATAAAAGTTTGGAACGATATTAGGGCGAGTAAGTGATGAGAGAATTTTGAGTCTTGGGTGAACTCTCTCTTTAATACTGTCAAGATGGTTTAGCAGCTAGTCTGGTGGAAAAGGGTGTGCTGATATGAGATAGCTACTGTTGAAATTTTAGGTTAGAGGTAGTTTCACACTGTGCACAGTCTATTGGAAAAACAGCTGTTACATGTAACACACTCATTATTTAGAACCTCTTGGGAGCAGGAACATTACAGGCCCATAACTAATGACTAAAAGTGCAATCTGAGATAATTGCAGACGTAGTTACGGATCCTCAGGAGAAAACTACTTATTTGATGGGCTCTAGTTTATATGTTGGATGTCTAACAATGTCAGTATTGTCCTGATTGTACTTACAAACAATACTACAATATCTATCATGAAACATGTTCAAAAATACATAGAATAACCATGGCACCATACCCAAAACATCATGGCAGCTTGGTAATTTTCTGTCCTTTAAATATTAGTTAAGACTTGTGTATGTACAGATAGATGGGAGAAATCTGAAGGCTTTACTGTATTTCTGAGAAGATCTACCATCTTGTCAGATCAAAGTACTTTTTAATACATCACAGTGAGCAAATAGTTTCGAAAAAGCAGTCTCTCTTTAATTCCACCGTTTTATTCCGAATCTGCTGATGAATTGTTTTTCTCTTGTTGATGTTTGTGGGCATGTGTGTGTGTGTCCGTTGGGAGGGAAGGGCAGCTCTATCAGAGATGGTTTAAGACTTTAGCGCTCATTTCATCTCACTGGGTCTCTAATAGCTCTTTTGCTCCTCAAATAGCGCCTCTGTTCTCACTCACGGAGCTATCAGAGATCGCCTGTTCAAATTCTGAAAAGTGCTAAGCCTCAGGCTGACAACAGCTCCCATCACACACATACGTTCTCGCTCTCTCACCTTTATTTCCACCTGCTGATTCTCACTTGCTCTCTTTCACCTTCTAATTCCTCTCACCTCTCCAATGCTTCTCTCCTCTAATGTCTTTTCCCTCTTGAGCGGTGTCTAGATTCATCTCATTCAGCCTCAGAAAAAGAGGGGGAAAAAGAACTGACTCACCTCCTCCTCCACCCAGAAGTGTCTTGTTAGCTGAAACAACAAAAAGAAAACAGAACACTCTTCAGGGAAGATGTCAGAGACATTACAGCAAGAAAAACAGTGACTTTAAACCAAATGTATGTCTTACTGGTGACTGACAATACAAATTCTATCAGAGGGGAGAAGGTCAAGTATGAGAATTAGTTAAAGAACTCAATATTAATACACTACCATTTAAAAACGTTTGAGGTCAGTAAGATTTTTTTTATGTCCTTGAAAAAAAGTTTCTTATGCTCACCATCTTCATTTAACCAAAAATCAGTGTAAAAAAAACTATTGTGAATTTCTGTAGTGGCAAAGCTGATTTGGTGCTCAACTAAGTTTCTTACTATCATCAATGTTGAAAACAGCTGCTCTGGCTAATAATTATAAACATCTTTACTGTGAATTTTAAAATATATGTGTCCTTGCTAACAAAAAAATATGGATTTGTTTAAAAAAATGGTAGTGTATATAAACTTTTCATAATATAATATAATATAATATATAATATTTTTCACTATATGAACCCTTTAAATGTGCCATAATTAGTTCAGATAGTGGATAAGCTCCTTTGTCAGATTGCATAGATGTGCCTTATGTCCCTTACAGTTTTCTGCTTGCTTAGTAAACTAAGCAAAATACAGTCATGAGCCTGGTCATTCAAAGTGCTAATTGACATTTCCATCAATTCAGTAAAAATCAGGGTCTTGAACCTGTGTCATAGGTGAAACGAAAGCCTTTATCCAATTTTACAAATTAAACTAGATACAGAGCTGCTTTTTCATTACGGGACCTGAATGATAGACAATATACTGCAAAATGTTTTTGTCTATTAGTTTTAATTTCAATAAAAAGGAAAAATTGCATCCATTCGCATCAAACAGGGCTGATCGTGTTTGAGTTCAAGTACGAGGCTGTTGCACAATGCAGCACTAAAACAACATTGTTTCATGATCAAACAGTGAAGTTAAACACAAATGAGCAATAAGATTGCTGATTATTTTTTTCCCATTTAAAATTCATTACACCTCTGCACATGGACATTAAACCGCATAAGTGACAAGCTTATGAGCCAACAAATAATTTACCAGATGGAGTTAATGTAAGCCCAGACAAACACATTTTTTCAAACGAATAGACACACAGCCATTGAAAAAAGGACAAACACGCACACACACAATTTAGCAACAGAGATAGACTGACAAACAGAAAACAGTATGGAGAGAGAGGTAACCATAGCAACCCCAAAGCCCAAAGGTTTGTTACTGAAACGTAGTTAATTACACAGGGAGGGCAAAGGAGGAAAGATGGAGACAGACGAGATGAGAGAGACAGGAGAGACAGAGCAGGAAAGATGTAATTTGCAAGTGGATGTCCCTTTCTCTTCTGTCTCTCAGAAAAAAAAAATCTACTAGTGAAAAGAAAAAAGGGATCAGATATGCACGAGGAAGGACAGAGAGCAAAACAGTGGGAGAAAGAATGAGCGAAGGCTGTAAGTTGATGATACCCCAGGGAGAGAGATTTGCCATCTGCTTAAACCCTGTGTGCAGTGTCTTACCCAGGGGAAGGGTGACAGTAGTACCATAGAGATGATGATGTTCACACACACACACACACACACACGACTCTGTGAGGCATACTGACATGATGAGATTGTATGCGGGAATGTGTTCACAAAATACAATCTTCTTATTCAGAACTGTAACAATTCCTTTCAGGCAGGAAGAAATGGATCTACGAAAACAATGTCCATGAACATCAATACCGAGGTTGGGATTGTAAACAAAAATACTCTGCTGATTCTTAGTGTCAATTCGACTCCACAGCAAAGCACACAGCAAGAGGCAATATACGGCAATGATGAGCGTTTACGGGTGGATTAGGATCACAGAGAGAGATTAGAAAAAAGAAAAACAAATGGATGAATAGTTGAGAATCAAAAAAAGTTCAACAGAAGGTTGGGGGTTAGAGGAGAGAAGGACGTGGAGGAGAGGCAGACAGAGAGAGCGAGAGATAAAAGCCGGGAGGTATAGAGGGATCAAGAATGTGCAACAACACAGGTACAAAAACACTAAATGAAAAGATGAAAAGAACAAAAGAGAAAAGTATTTTTTTTCCTTCAAGAAAACAGCACAGCATGAGTTTGCATCACAATACACAAGATAGAGAGCAATCGAGAGTGGGTTTTTTGCTTTTTTATAATAAATGCATTAATTAGAGGAGCTGACAGAAAAGTTCTAGATCTAATTTTTCTTTTTTTTTCCGAAAAAAGGGTTTAAACATGATTAACCATTTTTTAATGACTTAAAAAGTATAAGTAAAAACTATAAAAAAGTATAAATACTTATAAAAGTAACTTACATATTAGGACTGTCAAATGATTATAATTTTTCATCTTTAATTACATAATGTGCCAATAAAATTAATTGAAAAGAAAAGCCTCTGCAATTGCAATGTTGAATTGCAATGTTAAATAGACATTGCAATAAGAAGCTTTAGAAAGAAACAATTTTGATTCAACGTTGCATAAATAATGATAATAAATAGGTATTAATGGGTTTTCGTTGGTGAAATTGAGCAAAACAGACAATATAGACAATACTGTGCCTAAAATTAAACACAATATTGACTTCTTGATTGTTGAACTATTGTATATTACTTTTGTAATCGTGTAGATATTCGAGAGAGAAAAACCCCACACTTGCTCATGTGATATTGCTAAACTATATCATATGATATAAATATAAGACAAAAAAACCATACAGGGCCATATTTTGCCCTCACATCTTGAATTTTAGGGGCATATAACTGCATTCTAACAGCCTACCTCACGCAGTCAGTCGTTTGTCCTGCATCATGTTCGTTAGAAACTGTCTGCAATGAACAATAAGATGACAAACTGGTCTAGACCATGGTGGGGTGTGTTAAATGCGTTAATCATTTGAATGCATTATTTTTTCCATAATTAATTGCACCAAATTAACATGTTAAATCGACAGCCCTATATAATATAATAAAAACTAAGTATTGTAAATAAGTATTTACTGTACGCATTTATTAGTCATACAAATACCACATCAAGCGTGATTATTCAGAAAAGGTGATGGTCAAGTGTTTGGAACGGAAGTCTGTTTCTGAAATAGCCTGCCACCAGGGAGAGGGGGTGAAACCAGTGACAGAGAGACGTGTTGTGTACTGTATGTATGAACAGATGTCCTTAATGTCTGACACTCCAGAACCCTGCAGACACCTTGGCTTGTGCGAACTATTGCATTCATAAACACACAAACATGTACTGTACATTACACAAACCTCCCCTCAGGAGGACAGCTTCATAAACATTTCATTTTCTCTATGTAAGGCTACAATTACATGCAAGTCAAAGTCAATCCAACTCACAGTTCATTGCACTGATAGCTCAGGACATGCACACTGCCTCACAGTCACTTGCAGTCCTAGAGGGAGGCCCTAACAGCAAACTGCATGCCATGCATTAAAATTTAATATGACAAAACCACAAAAAAACACACCAGATAATGCTGTACACAACCACATTATCAAAAGGCGAATCAAAGTCTCAATGAAAAAGTAAACATTCCATTAATTAAACATTGACAATACTCTGCAAGCGGCAAATGGGAATATAAACTGGCTTTAGCAAGTGAATAAAATTCTTCAAAATACCAGTTGGCTGTTCATTTTATTTAGAAATGCAAGGTTACATGGTTTATGCATGTGAGTGATCAAACACCAAGATGCCTGCTAAAGAAAATGCTTGGAGTGTAATAACTTTTACCTGATGAAAATGTATTATCTCAAGAGTATCTGTGTCAGATGTGGTGAAAATTAAAGTTTGAACCTTACTGTTAGTTTTTAAAAATATATATATTTATTTAATAAAAATGAATGTTCATAGAATAGTCAGATATTAATTTATATGGGCTATACCCTAACACATACACATGCATGCGTATAAACTGTTGTATTTACTGTCGTATGGTATAAGCATAAGACACATATTTCGACATTTTACATAATTTAACATAAGCCTTAATGTAATATATAAGACAATATCCTGTTGAAAGATCTATGTTAATAGCTCTATGTTTAAAAAAAAAACACGTTACTCCGCTGAGGAGATGAAGGGGTGGAGTGGCGCGAAAGAGAGAGAGCGCGAGGCGCGCCGCTGAGTGACACGAGAGAGAAAGAGAGAGAGAGAGAGAGAGAGAGAGAGAGAGAGTCACAGCGCGCCTGACTGACTGAACGGAAGACTGAGACGGTTAAAAGCACAGAGAACGGGACAAATCAAAACCACTGGAAAAAAACGCGCTCTAGAAAAGAAGAAAATTTCGCAGAATTTAAACGAAGGAAAGATGCCGTTTACCCAGACTGAGGTATGCTGCTCTAAACAGTTCTTCATATGAGCTACTTGTTACCAACGGTCAGTCTGAGTCAGCTCAACTCTGACTTCAACTGAAATGAGGTAGAATACATATGTTTTATACACATTATAAACGCTGTTTAGAGAATACTGACATATTCTGGCTGAATGCGTACGTTAGCCCTCTAATTTGTCTTTTTAATTTGTTTGCTCTTAAGCGCCTATTTAATCAGTTTGAGGCGGCTGCCACATGGAATTAAATGCAGGCGCTTTGAAATAAGATCCTGGATTGGGACTCTCATTCATTTATTTTAATGACCTGTTATTAAACGCGTGCGACTGTGCATAGTGCCTAAATGCGCTTGTTTGCTTGCGATGGCTATTTAAATACTGGTAGCTATACAATCTGGTGAAGATTTGCATTTGTTTTTGTACTTTCAGACCTGGTGCAGAGTTTGCATAGGAGTTCGGGGCAATAGTGCATCCGTCTTTGCGCGTGTATTTGCACTGTACTCTCTCATAATCGGCATAAAGACAATGTAATACAGTAGAACATCTAATAATATCATTGAATATTAAAAGACATATTTATGGCACAGATTACGGACATTGCCCTACACTGCAATGTGATTTCAACTGAGATAGGTAAATCAGAACGCATTTTATAGCGGTTGTAAATGAGAACATGATGCTTGAGTTATGACTTACTTTTATAGTTTTTGTATGGATATATCCTGTTGTTTATATTAATGTTCACAGTAAAGTTCTCATTTTATGTCTATCTAGTTTTTCAATAAGACATCTGTGCAAAGAAAGAAAGAAAGAAAAAGAAAGAGGGAATTGCAGTTTTGGGTTGCATCTTATTTATGAAAGCCAAAGGCACTCCTCTGTAAATCTTCAGGGAAATCATCTTGATTTCTGAAGATGCAGTAAGTGCAGTGAGGGAGAGAGCGTGTGTGTCTCTGTGTGTGCGTTAACATGGAGGCAATACTTCTATATTTTATCATATTTCCTTATTTCTCATCTTTTATTTCCCTGCTCTGTTGGTGACAGCCAGGAAACAGTGGGGGTTTTGTAGAGTCGCCAGCATGAGTCCATAGCCATGCCAAAACAGTGGGGCCAGTATGTAACAAACACGCTTTACACTGCATGAGACACACACACACACACCCCTTCAAACACAAGCCCATCAACCCCAAAACCTTTTAATTAGTACCACCACAACTACGCTTACACTTCTTTTCTGTTACATAAGCACCTTTGAGCTATGCATTAATATTTTTATTGCATAAAAATAATCTATACATCAATTTAAAAAAAGAATTTTACAAAAGAAAATTGTCAAATTCAAGCAGCTCAAGTGATCCACCAAAGTACATCTTGTGGTCACAAAAACACCACATGAACTACATCAAGAGTGAGACATTTGGGATTATCACAGTACTTCAGACCCAACTCCACTCACACACAGCAGATTACAAAGATTTAGAGTACATCAACTCTAACGCAGATGAACATGGTGGTCAAATGCAGATGAGCAATGAAAGAAAGAGAGCAAGAGGCGGAGAGCAACACAGCTCAGTAAAAGAAAACTCACGAGAGATTAAATCTGTTTATGGTCTAAAAGTTTTTTTCCTTTCTGTTGCAACCATCTGAAAATGAACAAAACAAACACATGAGAAAATGTGATAGTAACATCATTTACATTTAAAAAACCAAACGCAAAGTTTAAGAAATGAACAAATTCTCTGTATTTTCAGGTATAGTGATTTGTTTTTGTTTTCACTGCAGATACAGCTTAAAATATCTATAAAAGCATTGGCAGATCTCTAAGCAGCAGGCTTGTTTTATAATTCACAGTTGGGCCTGTGAGAGTGGCGTGCGTGTCAGTGGGGTCACTGCAGTGGGTTGCATGACAAAAACACAGCACTACAAATTACAATAGGGATACAGCAGCTTCACAACTGACTTTTCTATATATGTTTTCATATATCAGAGAAAACAAATAATAGGAACACAGGTGTAAGTCACTTACAGTACACCTAAATGATTGTTAGCAATAGTGAAAAATGCACAAACAGAAAATTAAACAGACACAAGCTATGAGCTTTCTACATGGTCATTTTTATTGCAGCTAGTTCACTATAAATCAATGACTATAGCCTTTCTAATTAATTGTTTTGTCAAAGCCACTATGGTTTGCATCAAAACATCTAAGGCACTTTGCACACAAAAACTGCATGGCAGTACAGAATAGAGGAAAAAGTGAGATGTGCCTAGGGCTGCACGATTAATCGAATGTGATTGTCATGCGCATCTTGTCAGTAAAGCTGGTTCTGTTATTAGTAGTAAATCCCCAGCACGTGCTTTCAGACATGTTTTTACTCCAAACTCACTTCATGATGTCAGTCTAGTGTTTGAAATAAATCCTTCTGTGAGATGATGTGGCTTCTTACACAGAATAAGGCACGCAACATATTTCATAGTATTCTAAGCGGTGATATAGGCCATGTCGATTAGCATTGCATTATATACTTTATTAAAATAAAAATTATAATAAGACGAACTCAGATAAACCATATATTGTCGTAGTCGTGTGTTTATTAGTCATGTTGAATTAATGAAAGCAGTTCAATCATCTTTTTATTCAGCGACCGCTATAGGCATTTCCTGGGTTTCTTCTGCGAGGCGTATTTGGAGTTTCCACGCGAGAGCGCCCTCTGGCCTTCGGATAGAGATTTACTGCTGATCACAGAACCCTACTTAACTGAAAGATACGTATGACAATCGCAGCTTCTGCCTAATTGCGATTTATCGCCTTTGCGATTTAATTTCGATTAATCGTGCAGCCCTAGATGTGCCTGTTACTGGTGGATGGTCTGAGGCTGGCCGACAGACTGAGCATTTCATGATCTAACTATCACTACTGTTGCTAGAACATTCTATCAGATATTGGGTACCAGAAAGTTTTTTTGTTGTTTGTAGAACAAAATGGCAAACAACACACACAAATAACACTTAGTCATATTCCTTTCACCCTGACACTCAAAGCAGGAACAATCACGCAGTCTTTTGGTATGGTGTTAAGAGTGTCCATTCAATATGCAAGTACTTCTAAAACTGCAATAATACAGTGTTCGCTCATGTTTTCTAGCCTGGCAACTGTAATAATCTCACAATTGATTTCCCAGACTCCCTAGCATTACCAAACACTTGTAATCTGGAGCTTTTACTCAGTGCTCTCAACAACAGTTACAAAGTGTGCTTTGCAGTTTTTGAAAATTATTGCTGCTTGCAATGCATATATCCATGGTGGTGATCTGACTCAGTTGAAAAGGATCTCTGTACAATTTTTGGTGAGAATGATTCTGTACAATAACCCAGCAATTTACATGCAGTTAGGGGTGGGTAATATGATCATCATCATGATATATCAATAATATGAGTAGTTTTTTCAAACGTTAACAAAACATATCAAGATATATATATATATATATA